TAGAAGCATTATCATCCATTTCGACTTCCTGATTTTTTTTTAGAATGGATTTTCATGGTATTAAGTGAGGGCCCCAACACATCACACTAGTGCATTGACTGGCAAAAGCAAGTATTCAATAAACTTTTGTGGAATGAACAGATGGATATGTGAATGATGAAATGAGGTGATCCCCAAATTCAAACTAAGAGTCAAAATGAGAAAAATTTTCATATTATAGGGGGAGACTGAGCCAAGATAGTATCCATAAGACTTTGTGAAAAGTTTAAGAACATTCAGAAATAATTTGAATGTATTTAACTTAACTGGATTTTTTTTTCCTGTTCTGTTCCTTTAATGTTAACATCCTACTTAACCAGGGTATATTTATTAAAACTCACATTGACACAGTGCTACTTAACTAAATTCCAGAGTTCATTCAGAGTTCACCAGTTTACCCACAAATGTCTTCTGTTCTTAGGTCCGATGCAAGATATCATGCAGTCTTGTTTTCTTTGTCTCCTCTGATCTATGATAGTTTCTCTGTCTTGTCTTGTCTTTTCATGACCTTGACAGTTTTTACGCGTCTGGTATTAGAGTGTGCCTTGATTTGTAACTTAACTGGATTTTATTTAATGCAGTAAATGTAGTTGCAATACAGTAATTGGAATTAGTAACCAATCAAGTAAATTGCATTCTCTTTGGACAAAAGGGGACATTTCTGTTGCCCTTGCAACACTGAGAACAGATCCCTGAACTTGGATGAGTTTTCTAACTGATTTTTACTCCATGTATTTGCTTTGTTTGTTTTTGCAAAGCGTCCTGGTCTTCCAGCAGTAACCCCATTTCAGGGATCACATCCCCACCCCCTGTTAAGCTATAGTACAATGAATAGCAGCTCCAAGTAGTCCAGCAACATTTGATATTTTAAACAAATCCTGGCTCTATCTGAACATAGCTAAGAACTTTTTATTACCAGCATGTCCCCAGCAGTCTCCATCACGTAGAGCTCCTACTCTATAACCAAGAAACCAGTAGCACCAGGCCATTTCAGAGAACTTGCTGGTTCTCTCCTGTAAAGTTGGCGCTTGTCTAGTATTATGAAGTGACCTGAAGCCATGAAAACTTCTTGTAACCGTTTTTCAATCCACGACTAAATTTCTACTTCCAGGGCCTCTGACTTATAGGCAATCTCTCACTAGCTCTCTCACGAGAATGAGTCTGTGATTCATTCTAACTCACAAGGATGATCAGATGAAATTGTTAACAGAATGTCTTGCTCCTGGTGGATAATGACTTATTGGAAATACAAATTAAGATCCTATGCTTTATTTTACATGGTTGTTAGTGTTTCCAGCCATCACCTCTGATCAATTTAGGCTATAATTTTGTGGCATTAATGAAAAAGGACTTAATGAGCTGCTCCACTTCTTTCACCATGCAGGTCTCACTGCCATACACAAATTAAAATTCCCCAAATAGGAAACTTCCATCCCACACCCGCAGGCCTAACTCGATTTGTGGATTATACCTCTAGAGCCTAGCAAGTAACAAACTAATCATTTTTTCCCAGGACCGAGGCATTTTACCTTCCAATCTGAATTTCAGAACTTGTCTTGATTAATGCTGATGCACTGAACACTGTTGCCATTAAGTCATATATCTTGCAAAGAGCCAGTTGGAGCAATAATTTATATATCTCCCGGAGAAAAGTTTTTGAAAACTCTCTGTGCAATATTCTGATGGATTAATCTTCTATGAGATCCTGATGCATTTTAGAAATAGTGGCCTTCCTTGTAATTGTTCTTGTCTACGACTTTTTTTCCATTATGTCAATTTAATAGAAGCAATGTTCCTGCTTCAAAGCTGCATATAAACAACAGGTATAGGAGAAGTTGTTCTATATGCTAATTATTAGAATTTAAGAGCAATATTTTGTGAAAAATACCTTACTACCCAAAAGCAATTTTTACTATTATCCTTTTATACAGAGTGTGCCAAAAAATGCATACACATTTTTAAGAAAGGAAAAACTGTATTAAAATTGTAATAATATATACTGATAACAAAAGATGAATACAAGTTATGGGAACACAATTTGTTGGCACCCCCGGTATTTAATGAAAATAAATTAAAGAATATGTAATAATACATGCCAGTATCCGTGTGCTAACCTTTTAAGCCAGTAATTATTTACCCTTTAAAACACAGTAATAATAAACTTTACAGAAATTTTTTTCCATTTTTGAATAATCAGCGATTCAAGATTCAAACTCTCCCCACCCTCTTTTGAAGTAGGTCATGGCATCTCTTCAAAAAACAAATCCTATATTAGAAGCAAGTTATGGCTATTAAACTGTACCCTCATGGAGGCAGAAAGTTGATGGTAAATTACCCAGTAAAGAGTAAACTGATTTTAAATGCAACTACCGGGAATTTAATCAACTGTTAAGTGGTGTCTTGATTTTTAAATTATATAAAAGTCACTTGCTGCATTTTCTATTCTGAGCTCCTACCCCAACGTCTGGCATGTAGTTAAGAGTTCAATGTCAACGAATGGAAGTCTCAGAATTTTTCACGAAGTGGCTAGTGATAAAGCTTTCTGTGACTCATCCACTAGGTGGCACCCAGGGACCGCGCTTCACACGCTAAACCGTCACAGACCCGCCAATTCATGGTGCAAATAAAGAGCTGCATTATTAATTTATACCATCACATCCACTCTACACCTAATACTTATTTAACCAGCTGCTTCCTCTAATCCTCCTTAAACACAATTGATTAAAATCCTAAGTATATTCAGGTTTCCAACCTTCCTCATTCCCCTCCCCCCAACAACATTGTGTTACCTTCAAATAACAAGTCAAGTACATTTAAATAACATAGGCTAAGTACTATGGTTACTCATAATGATTCCAGACTGTCAGAAAATTAACTAGAGGCAACAGAAGACTGTAATATAAAAGTTATTTTCAAGTTTGCTTTTATTTCCTTGGCATTTTCATTGGTGGAATACCATTATTTTAAAAATGTCATCTGGAAAATAAAACATGCAGGGGGCAAAAGGAATGGAAAGAAAACTAGTACTAGTCTTTTCTGAAAAAGGTAATTATTTTCTGAATATGGCTCTTGTTCATCTTTACAAAGACGAAGTGCAGTGAGTGCTACCTCAAGGCTCAAAGACTTCTTCAGCTACTCAGAAAATACCAGTATTCCACACCCAGGATACTAAAAGGCAGGACTGTTCAGCAGACCATCTACTCATACCCTGCATACTCCGAATGTATTTATCCTGGATGTGTTACTTGCTCCCAAAGGAACGAAAAGGAAGTGAAACTACTAGGGATATAATGAATTGATTCTTCTCTGTGAAAGTCTCTCTTCAGTACTTCTAAATTATAGTGTCAGTCATTCCTCGAAGGGACAGGGTCTTGCTGACAATAAATGCCTCACTTTATAACAACATGATGTTCCCCTCTTTCCCGTTTCTCATAGAAAACCCAGGCCCCTTGGACACTCCTGTTTGGAATACTGGACTCTTGGGTATCTTCTCCCTGGGGACAAGTGGTCTCTTGAGGCTGTTGGTTTTTTCTTGCTCATTTAATTATTTAAGCAGAATTACTTGTCCTTATCTAGTTTTCCTATTTTTAAGCTGTTTCCAGTTTTGTGAAGCAATTACCAAAAATGTCAAATTTAATTAAACAATTAAATTATTAAGAACATATAGCCCCAATGTAACTATAGACTAAAGCTTAAATGCTCAATAGATCTTTGGCATACATTCTATTTCAATGAATGGAAAGAAAAACTTCTTTATTGGCGAAAGAAATGGAAAAAAAATGAAAAACTGATGTAAATATTAAGAAATATCACACTAGAAGTTATCCAAAGAGAACTACTATGCTATATTTTTGATAGAACAATATTTCCATTTTATAATTCCGTTAAAATATTGAACTCATTGACGTGCGTATAAAATTACTGCAAATTTAGTACACTGAAATAATCAAATAGAAATGGTTACCAGAAACTACATTTGTAATGAATAAATATTACACTTCACTTAGAAATTAATTCACAGGCTTTATTTCTTAAGAACAGTTAGCTTCCAAGAAGCCAGCCAGTATGTTTGATTTTATGACATCACGCTGGAACATGTACAGGAACACTTTCCACCCTAAAAATTCCCAAATGTACTGGCCACTTTGTGTATTTTTCCAGTGATAAATGAAAATAAAATAACTTATTTTCAAACTAATAAACCATCTTATTTTGAACACAACAGCCATATTCAACGGAAGAAAACAACTTCATTTAAGCTCCAAAGAATTCATATTTGCTTAGGGTGGTAAACCGTCTCAACACTTAAACAATTCCTTTAAATAACTTTTAAAAGTACTCTGAACTATGACAAAATTTTTTCAGCTCATTAAAATTATCCACCAGCATAATTCTATATACGAAAATGCATCATAATTCTAGTATCTTAGTTTCACAGTTAACTGGCGAATCCAGGACCAAAATTGGTAACATCTCAAAGATGATCAATCTAACAGGTATTATCTATAATTACAGTAACTTTCTTTTTCACATAAGCCTATATATTTCCTAAAACAAAACTCACACATCTGGAATAGACAATCCCATTTCTCAGCATTTCCTTCAGCCTATACAATTCTTTTTTCATCTCAGGTGCGATAAAAATGCCTCTTGAAATACAGATGGAAAAGCCACCACTTGGAAACGATGCGTTGACCAGATTTATAGTAGCACTAGCAAAAGCCAGGATACTGGAGTTAATCCTTGCCCCAATTCTGGACTGAGCTTTTTTATGGCAATACAGTATTTTATCTGACAGTATGAATTCTAAAAAAAAAGTTGAGACATCATGTGAAACTCAAAAGAAAATAAGAAAATTTGTTTTAATATATACATATATCATGATATGTATTGCTTTCTAAAATCTTAAAAGCAGCAAGGTTTGACCGAAAGTCTAAAAAAAAAATTTATGTAAGTTTTACCTTGTTCTGAAATCCAGGAGTTCAGATGCTTTCAAGTCCTGCTGAAGTTGGAGCCTGGAGATCAAGTGAAGCTAGAGCTCTTTGCCCTCACCTTAAGTTTGTCTCCGGCAAGTGTTTGCGCGCGCGCGTGCGCGCGCGTGGTGTGTGTGTGTGTGTGTGTGTGTGTGTGTGTGTGTGTGTGCGCGCAGAATGTCTCTTTGTGGCACGGGATGGCAGAGGTCCTGGTCCTGGGAAGAAGGAGGTACTTTCTCACCAAGAGCAGAAGAAAAGCAAAGCGTCACCAAGAAAGTTCTCCTCCCAGATTCCCTAATTACAGCCTAACGTGCATTTCATGCAAACTTCAGGGAAGAAGGGAGGGGCAGCTCTGTGCCCGGACCCTGTGGAACAGCAGCTCTTAGATGACTCTCCCCTCTGCTCAGATCCCTTACGGGGAAAGGGACAGCTACAACCACAAGCCCCCACCCACACCACACCTTCTGCACCCTCACCACTGTTAGGTGTGTCCAGAGGGGATGGGGCAAGGGGCCTGTGGAATGATCTGTGGGCCAGTGGTGTGAGGCAGACGCGCCAGGACAGTGAATTTTCACTTTGTTTTTTAGCCTCTGTTTAAAAGGAAAATCCAAGGGAAGGAGAGGAAAATCCAAGGGTACCAGAGGTCCTGGCTTTCCTGCCTCCCTCTCCCCAAAGTGGATCCAAGGTAACCAGGTAGAGAGACAATTATGACAACAGCAGATAAAGCTTCCTAAACTGGAGGTGCCCTTCCACCCCAACTACCAGAAATGTATTTTTTTTGTTTACTGGACTCAGTCTCGATATTGGGTTTGAATCCCCGTTAACAAACAACTGCTATTGTACCCCTGGATGATAGAGCTCAAAAAAACCTGGATTTATTTATAGAGTGAAGAATGCGAGGGGCAGACGGGATGGGTGGGGTTGGCTTATGGATCCATATCCAGGATTAGAACCAGATGGGCACAGGGCGCTCGCGGACGCTCGCGGACACACACACACACACACACACACACACACACACACATCTAAAATAACCACTGGGGAAGATGCTGGGACACGCGGGAAAACGCCTCCTGAACAAATAGATATTTATTTATAACTCCTGGGAGATTATATAGGTCCATTGATTCCCTCCTTGAGTAACCAAGGGTTTTGGAGAGGAAATGGCTTCATATTTCAATAACAGAGCCACCTTTGATGGAGCCTAGGAGGGGAAAAAAGAAACACACCGCAGGAAGCAAACGGCTGTTGAAGCAGCCGGAGGAGGGAGCGGGGCTGGCCTGGAGATGAGGACAAGCAAACAAGCCCGAGGGGCCCCTAGCCAGGGAGAAGGCCAGACGTGGGCTGGCGGGCGGGAAAGGCGGGGGTGTGGGGGGTGGGGGTGTGCAGGGCACCGTGGGCGCGGGGCGCTGGGTGGTGTCCAGGGACTCGTGGCCGCGCTCCCGGCTCTCGCCAGTCGTCCTAGGGGAGGCGCAGGCCGGACTGCGGGCTCATCACCACCGCCGCTGCTGGGGCGCTGGTCGGGCAGAGGGACGGGTGGGACCGAGGGTCTGGTGGGCCAGAGGACTGATGGAGCAGAGGATTGATGGGGCGGGGTTCTCGTGGGCAGATGAGCTAGTAGGGAGGGGCGTCAATGGGATGTGGGCGCAAGAGAGAGACGCGGACCAGTGAGGCAGGGACGCTGGTGGGGCAGGTGAAGCGTGAGGCAGGGGGACAGGTAGGGCAGGGGCGCGCGCGGACAGGGCACGCGGCGAGAGCTGTTCCGGAGGCGGTGAGTGGCGCTATTGTCTTAAAGATAAATCCTAAACTACGGAGGCGACTTCCTCTTTGGAGAAGGGCGGGAAAGCGATCTAAAAAAAAAAAAAATATCTTTCCGCTTTTCTTTGACCTATTTCACCGGTCTTGTGCCCAGGCTCGTGGTTGCGATTCAAATCTGTCGTACTATATAACACGTGCCTCTTGGAAAGATTTTATTCCAAAGACTAACCAAACACCCACAAACCCTCACGAAATGAAGACAGTTATATTCAAAATGAAATAATTAAAAAAGAGTCCTCCAACAGGCAATTCAACATCTTTGTTGTTAATTCCCAAACCTGGGCAAAGCGCCTCTTTTCATTTTTTTCTGGTTCTCCCAACGGGCTGCTAAAGTTTTTGCAATTTTATGTCGTAAATTTCGTGGCTATTGAGACGGCTGTTATACGGTAGCTGCACACAGTAACTGCCAATACAAATAAGATGTAGCTCTGCTTTTTAACTATGAAAATAGTGTTTATGCAATTTCTTGCAAATGCTCAGGATACTATGTATTTTAAGGAATCTAAAGGAATTGGACTTAATAACAAATATCCTACATAAAAGTGGTGAGACCGGTGATGTGTGGCTATGAAATCGTATAAAGATACTTTAAATACTAATCATGTTCCCTTAGATTAAAATCCTGGCCCGTGGATGTCCCTGGTTCCCTTATCTTGTGTCTGCTCCATGTACTTATTCCAGCACATCATTAAGAGAATGCAATGCATTCTCTTCAGAAAGAAATGTTTGTTAGCCACACAAAACCATCTACCTGTTTTCACAGTTTAGTCAGATCACAGTGAATTACACCAGATTTGTTTTTTTCTTCAATTTCAGGTATAACCCCGATTGAGATGGGCTTCCAGAAACATATCAGCTACTCACCTCTGCTGTTCCTGACAAGAGTTATCTTGTCAATCTTCCCTCACCCATATTTCCCATCTTCCTTTCCAAGTTGCCTAGTTACTAGTCTTTGCTAAAAGATCTCCAGTATTTTTAATCACAAGTTTTAGCTCTCAATAGTGTGTGTTTTAAGTGTTATTTAGGCTTAATTTAATGATTATATACACTTTCATTCTTTTGGGAGGTTTCACTTTGTTTACTAATTATTTAAAATTTGCATTGGAATTAGCTTTAAGAGTCTTTTAAAAGTTTTCTGTGTTTCGTTAATTAATGTTCAGCTAAATAGTGCTATACAGAGGTATACATTACGTTGACTAGTTATCATTATGCATCAGGGAAAAGTCCAATAAACTTTGGTGTAAAAAAAAAAACAAAATCGAGTAAATAAATAAAATACAAATCTATTTTCACTACTAAAATATTTTACAAAGGTGTAAGTTGTAAAAAAAAATATATTAAAGACCCAAATATCTTTTCAAAGGACAACCATATCAAAAGAGTAGTCTGTATATGAATATTTCCTGTAATTATTAATACCTGTATTATTAATTAATGTGTATACTTATGTCCTTCATTGCATATGGAGATGTTTTTGCTTTGTAGAGGGAAGGAGACCAGCGTTTTTTAATTTAAAAATAACACAGATATTTTCTTCAACATTAATTTTTAAAATGACATGTGCTTAAAATTTATGTCAGATTTTATCTTACATTAGCTGGCTAGTGCTAAACATACAAAGCCTAAAAATCAAAGTTGAAAATCAAGGCCAATTTTGAAAAAGCAAACACAAATTTAAAGATAATGGATAATATATACAGAGGGAGCCAAAAAATATATATTAACATTTTAAGAGAGGAAAAAACTGTATTAAAATTGTAATATTCAATATATACCAATAACAAAAGATGAATACAAGTCACATTTGACTTCTGAAATTACAAGAGGTGCTCAAAGTGGTTACCATTAGTGTAATATTAATACAGTTTTTTTTCCATTCTTAAAACGTGTATACATTTTTTGGCACCCTCTGTATATACTGACGGTGCCAAAAAAATGTGTACACATGACTTGTATTCATCTTTTGTTATTAGCATATATTGAGTATTACAATTTTAATACACTTTTTTCCTTTCTTAAAATGTGTATACATTTTTTTGGCACCTTCTCTCTCTCTCTCTCTCTCTCTCTCTCTCTCTCTGTGTATGTGTGTGTGTGTGTGTGTATGTGTGTGTGTGTGTACATATTTTGAAAAGATCTTGTTTAGCATAATATAAAAGCATTTTTTAAGAATGAAAATTAGATAAGAATGGTGTTATAAAATGTAACTTTACATTTCTTTGCTGATTATAAAACAATTTGAGTAATCAGTTTGAACCAAATAAAATGGAATATTCAACCATTTTTGACCCACCCAAAAAGGTAATTTCATCTGGTTTAACCTAATACAAACTTACATGTGCATACCATAAACATAGGAAAATTTTTCAACATTTAAAGAATATTGATCCAAAATATCATGAATCTTTAATACGTAATAAATTCGCAAGCAGAATGGTATTCCTCCTGGCATATTACACTACTAATGAAATGTACATTTACATTTAAATTGAGATTATCTAAATTCATCTCCTCTTTCAGCTCTGAAAGAGGCTGGTGTATTATCCACTGAATTCCAGAGAACTTCTTTCCTGTGAGTTTGTGTTTACTGGAATTTTTGCCTCAGGCTAATATTATACCTGGTTGAACATCTGCTAGGATAAAGGTGCAACTATGTGCACTTTGAGGTACCAGGGGAGGAAAGTCATTTGACCTTTCCTGTTTGAGGGCTCAGAACTTCATTAAAGCATCCCTTGAGATTGCCAGCATCACATCACCATGAGAAATACATCATTTGTAATTAAGTCCTTCCCACTGGCTATATTCTTGTTGAACACCATAATTAAAATACAAATTCAATATTTTAAATGGTCACAAAGTATTTGATAAAAGGTTATTTTGATTTTAATGTGGGGGGTGGGGAACGACTTCCCAAGAGCCCACTTTTTTGTACTCTCACTCTCAGAAAGTGTCCAGCAGAGAGACTCTTCAAAAGGGCAAACGAAATAATTAGGCAATAAATTGTTCAAATGTTAAGAGCAGAACTGTTTCAGAAGCTAGTGAGGCCTTATGAATATCATAACAAGTGATAAATATCCTCAGCTCTTTGAAGTAAGAATTTACATTTGCCTCTGCTGGTCTGTTGTTAGGTTTTGGTTTCATAGCACCTTTCTTATGATCTACAATTGTTCTCTCAGTGTATTTCTTTCATGCAGAATGCCCAAGCTCTTTCTTCATTATTTTCAATAAATTGATGTCTATTTCTTTATGAACTAGATTCTACTTATTCTGCAGTAAGGTTCAGATTCAGTCCCATCTCCTTTGTCATGCTGTCTTTGATTGTCCTAATATTAGGAAAGCTATTCG